GAGGGAGCGGGCTACCCTGCTGCCACGGCCGGCAAGCAGAAAGAAAACCCCTGAAAATCTTTCAGCTAAAGCAGATGCTGCAAAAGGAGGTCTGTGCAGAGCCGGGCCGATGGCACACGCTGTGCCGGCAGCTGCGGGAGCCTGGAAGACATCTCAAGGTCTTTGCATCTGCCAGCGGCTGCCAGCAATTCCCAGGAGGCCTGGGTCCCCCCTGCCCCCCTCGGCTCTCCGCCAGCCCCCTGCACCCCCCATTCCCGGCGCTGATTGCAACCGCTCCCAGGCGGCTCCCGAGCAGGAGAGCCCAAATTACCCGTGTCAAGCGGCGGCAACGGATGTGACAGCTCAGTTCCCGGGAACGGCTCGGCTCCTTCCCCAGCAGGGGCTTCGGAGCATGCCGGGACCCCGGGGCTTTCCCCAGCCAGTAGCATGGCCTCGGTTGGGCTCCCCGGGGCCAAAGGGGAAGCGGGACCCCACAGCCCACCCGGGGAACTCTCTGCTGTGGGGCACGGGGGAGTTAAGCAGCTTAAAGGGCTCATAAAGGGATTAGCACTTGATATGGGGATGGGCAGCATCTGCAGCTACGCTGCCTGGGATGAAACTTGTCTGAGAGCCAGGCGGCAAATTCCCTGGGGCCAGGCAGATGCCGAGGACACGCTGCCGGCATCACCAGTGAGGCCACCGTGCCGGCACTGCCGTGGGCACAGCTCTGGCACCTGCCAAACTAACCCTGCTCACCACTGGCTGCTGAGCCCATCCCCCTTGCCTGCTCCGTTTTCCCACCTCCTGGAGAGCCAGGAGCTGCAGGAGAGGTGCTGAGCCCCAGAAAGCACCCATGGGTGCCACTCTGCTCAGAAATAACCACCAGCGAGGGGCTTTCTGCTCCTCCGGCTCACGGAGGTTGCTTTCTGCCATGAAACGTGAAGGTTTGTGTCCTCCCTGCATCCCGGTTGACACAGCCATGGCTGCTCCTGCCATCCCCAGCAATTAGAAAAGGGGATTTTTTCCAAGGCATGAGATTATTTGAGGAGAAGGATCCACCAGCTGGAGTGACATGAGCCTGACCGCTTGGGTGAGGTACCGGTGGGACCGAAGGAGGCACGGGCAGCCAGGGAAAGAGGCTATGACTCATTGAAATAGCATCAGTTTTATCCCTTAAAAATCTCTGAGGTTTGGGGATCAGGTCATTTCACGAAGAAAACCCACCCAAAACCCACCTGACTCAATGCCCAGCATGGCCCTGAGCGAAACCCACCCTTGGGATGGTGCAAAACGCCTGGTGTCACTGCCTGTCACTTGGGTGGGGGGACGGGAGAGCCTCTGTGCCGCCCCGGCAAGCACCCAGCCCGCACCCAGCCGCCTGCCGGCGAGGGGCACCTGCTGCCACCCACTGCACTGGGAGGGCAAAAGCAGCCAGTTTTTTGTCTGCAATTTGGCACCCAGCCCCGGCTCGTGGCAGAGACCCCCCAGCCTGAGCCCCCAGCAACCGGCTCCTTCCTCCTTGCTATGGGGATTCTCCGATGGCAAATAAGGGTTGTGCGCCGGGGGGGGGCAAGGAAAGCCCCTCTCCTCTCTGCAGCCAGGCAGGGCTCTCAGACGTGTGCTGGGGACCCTGCACGACTCAGATAAGGCACCACGGTGCCAAGCCCTGCTGTGGTGGGTACACCCAGGGTGGTCCCAGCACCAAGCCCATGCACAGACCTGCACCCTGGCCATGCCGGATGGGGGAAAGGAGCGGGGACGAGCTGGGATGGAGATTAATGCGACGGTCACGATTAGCTTGGCGCAGGCAGATTGCCGGCACCCAGAGAAGCTATTTCCTTCCACAGACAAAATGCATTTAAATGATGCTGTAATCTGTCGCCAGGAGGGGGACGGGATCGGCGCCTCCATTCCTTAGCCGTAAACTAATTCTGCCAGGAGAGGGTCTAACCCAGCCCGGGGTGGGTGCCAGGAGGGTGGATCACAGCCCAGCCTGAGCCTCTGTGCTGCAGAGGGACAGAGGGTGGGGAGGGAAGGAGAAGGAAGGAAGGAGATGCATGGACATATGGATGCATGGACATATGGATGCATGGCTGCTGGCTAGGTAGCAAGGAAGAAAGGGTGGATAAGGATAGATGAACCAGCAGAGAGACTGGAGGGTGCATGGATGGACGGATGTAAGGAGATAGGCAGATCAGAAATGGCTGGACAGCAAGAGAATAGCTCTAGGAAGAAGAACAGGCAAAGGATGGATGGAAGGATGGACAGCACAACAGCTCAGGAGATGGAAGGAAGATGGATGGAAGGAGAAAGGATGAATGGAAGGATGGACAGACAAGCAAAACAGCTCAGGAGACTTCAGTCCCCACACCGCTGTCCCCAGCCCCTGCCCTGTTTCTAGCAGCCCCTGGGAGGGAAGGGGGCTGCTGGTGTCCCCACCTCTGGCTGGGTTTGGGGGGAGAGAAGGGTTAAGCCCCGGCCGTTTCCTCTGCAGCCCACTGCGGTTAATGGGATTTGCAGCGCCTGACCTGCATTCCCAGGTTTATTAGGCCAGCACAGAGAGGACCATATGGTCCTTCCACCCTCGCAGCTCAGCACCGCAGAAAAGCAGATCTCCGTGCCTGGCCAGGCTCTGACAGGCCCGGGGGCTGCCTGGAACCCCTGGGCTAAGGAGCCACCCCAGCCCCACAGTGGGATGGGACGGGACTAGCGTGTGTCCCCTCCTTCCCACCCCACGGCAGCCCGCAGGGAGCCAGTGTGACCTGCGACCCACAGCGGGGACAGGGGGGAAAAGAGGGAGATGGAAACGCACAACTGCTGGCGACCGCCTTGCCGAGTCCCCACATCTGCCCAGCCAGATGTGCCCTGTGCCAGCCGCAGCCACGCAGCCAGATGGGCTGAGCCACTCCCCCCGCCCGCGAGGCCACGCAGGGACAGCAGCAGCACCCTCCAGCCATGCCCTAAAATCAAGAAGACCCCCCAGGCCGAGGGGTCTTGCTGCTGCAAAAAGCAGCACCAAAAGCCCCTGCCCATCCCCCTCTCAGCGAGGTCTCCACCGCAGGGTTTCGGTCACCACCGGCCACCCTCTTGCTCCGTCCCCCCTGCTTGGGGATGCTGGGGTCAGACAGACTGATGGACACATGGAAAAAGAGGCTGACAGACAGACTGGACGTAGCTATGGCTGGTGGGGGACACCGGCTTGTTCGCCTTCCCTTCTTGCCCCCAAATCCCCAAACGGGGCACGGGGGAAGCACGGCTCAGCCCCTCCATCCTGCAGCCGCTGCAGCCTCACCAGCCCCATCCCTGCTCCCATCCACCATACCGAGGCCGAAGAGCCACCTCCTCCTCCTCTTCCCCTTATCCAGCTTCAGCTTAGCCCCAGCCCCGGCCGTCTGCCATAGGGATCGCTTTAGCCACGCTCCAGGGGGGATCTTTATCCCAGCTTATCCCGTGGGATGCAGCAGGGGGCTCCCAGCACGTATATCCCCACTTAGCAGGGGAAGAGCACATAGGAAAAAGCTCTGGAGAAGAGGAGGAGGGAGGGGAGGTTTGAGGTCATGCCAGGAGGGTTAAAACCTCTCATGGTGTTAACAGGCAGCACTGGGGGCTTGGTGCATCAATGGGCCAAAAGCAGCTCTGAGGGAGATGCCAAAATACTGGTGATGTGAGACACCAGCCCCAGCTGACCGGTCTCCTGCCAGGCCACCGCCACACACCGTGGCCATGGCCCACGCCAGCCCATCATGGGTGGGCTCCCGTGGTCATCCCGCCTCAGAGCAAGCTGGGAAAGTCATCCATAAAGCAATGACTTGAGCTGACACGATGATAAAAACCCTCAATAAATACATGGGAAGGGCTGCGGGGAGGGACAGCAGGGGGTGTGACAGGGAGCTGCGTTACTGTCCGTAGCAGAGGGCTTCATGCTGGCTTCAAGCCTGGCTCAGGACTCCTGTGGAGGGGTTTCAGCACTCGCCGGTTCCCAGGATTCCTGGCCACAGGATGAAAAGGCAGCAGGATTTCATCAGTGGCCAAAGACCCCGGACACGGGCCCCGGGACCCTGCCAACTGCAGCAGCCCAGGGCACAGCTATCATCTCTGGCTCTCTGCAAATGCAAGCAGGGGATGCTTCTCCTCCTGGCCGCGCAGCAATGTCCCTCCCACGGGGCTGCCAGGACCACCAGTGATGCCGGGACCACTAGTGCTCCCATCCTTTCCGGATCCTGCCCCATATCAGGGCGACAAGGTGACGATCCCACCCCTGAATCAGGAAGACAAGGGCAGGACATGCCGCTGCCTCAGTTTCCCCACATGGATCAGCACCCAGATGAGACAATGGGGTGATGGGTCCACCCAAAACACCGAGAGCCAGGAGACCACGGCAAAACCCCACAGCTGTCAAGGAGGAAGCCCAGCCCGGCTGTTCCCCACCAGGACACCAGCACGGATGTCCCAACTGCAGTTTCATTTCAAGCCAGCATAAAGCCACCCCACTCCCCCGAGCATCCCGCAGACCCCCGGCTGAGGCTTCAGAGCCCCAAAATCTGGTGGTCCAGGTTTTGCCCCCACAGCCATCAGGGCCAAGCGCAAAGGGGAAACACAAGCGGCAATGGCCCCAAATGCCAGGGCTGTCCCACACCTGGAGCTCCCGCATGTGGATGTCCCAACAGCTGGATGTTCCAGCTAGAGGCAACCCCAGCTCCCAGGGAAGGGCCGGGCTCACACACTGTCTCACCACCTGTCCCGGGGCATCGCACCCATCCCTTTCCCTCCCCACCCTGCAGCACCGATCCCAGCCGCATTACACTCCCACCCAAGTGGGGTCAGCACCCCCAAACACCCTAAAAACCAACAAAAAGGAGAAATGGAGGCCTCTACCTCCACCCAAAACTCAGTCAGCCCAAACATTAGCCCCCTTCCACTCCACGCTTCCATGCAGCCAGGGAAAAAAAAACAGCCAGTAATAAAACACAAGCCGAAATTAGAAAATATAGGCGGGTCCCTCGTGGAAACCTCCGAAATGTTTCCCAGCAGCCGGAGCCTTGAAAATTGTTTTCGGCGACATAAAAGACAACAAGCTCTCCCTTCCCTCCAACGCGCTGAGAGCCTCCATCTCCAGTCCCAGCTAATTGGAACTCAATTAAGTGAATAATTGTTACAAATGTAAAATTACCTTCCCCCGGTGCACAGCGGTGAGACGCCCCGGCTGCGGCCGCGGGGAAGGGAGGGATGTGGGGACATGGGGATGCTCCCATCCCCCAGCTCTGCCCACGGCCACGGCGGGGGGTGGACAGAGCTGGGAAGCCCCATGGTACCAAGAACTGCCAATGCTCAGCCCGGGAGGTTAAACTGGTCCAGGCTTCCCAAAACCAGCCCAGGGTAGGAACTGAGCGGGTGCCGGCCAGGAAAAGTGAATCAAGCCTTCCTGTGAGCAGCAGTGCTGGCTCTGAGTGGATTCTCTAGTGCCTAATACAGGGTTGTGCTTATGCCTGGTGGGCACTGCTATATTCTCCTTTCTTTTAGATCCTTGAGACTTCTCCCACTCCAAAAGGTCCAGCCCGGCTTCACCGGCAGAAGCAATAAAAGAAATGCTGGTGGGACTCAGCCCCAGGCCAGCACACAGCCTGTATTTCGGGGCCGGCAGCACTAAGCAAAAGGGAACCATCCCAGCACCACACCAGGCTGTGGTGCTGATCTCTGCATTTCCCCCAGGAAATTATTAAAAGGGAGGGGAAAAAAAAGCAAGGAACCTAAAGGAATAAATAAATATGGCCTAAATGGGATATGCTGTGCAGAGGCGCAGCCTCCCATAAATTCCTGGAGCAGGCAAGCCTTTTACGCGGCAGCTACTTTAGAGCAATTTCCACAAATCACAGCAAGGGACAGGCCGGGGGACAGGAGGAGAGGGCCTTTATGGAGGAGGAAGAAAAATGAAGAAATGAATTAAAAGGGGGGGGGGGGGGGGAGGAGGGGGAGGTGCCTGACCATG